GTCGCCAGTAGGCAGATGCAGCACGGAACCCATGCCCTACCCTAACGTTCATGCCTTAAACCGGTGATCCAGGACAGCAACCTCATATCTACCAAGCCACCTTGGCAGACAAAAGGAGAGAGCAGTCAAAAAAACTGCCACGAGGCATACCTCCTTCAGCCATCACCTCCCAGAACTGACAAGCAGCCTCCAGAGATGTACCTGTCACCCAAAGGACATCATAAATCACCCCTGGAACTCCAGAGGGGAGGTCGGACGTCCCCCAGATCATCCAGATTCCACGGCAAATTACACCACTGCCCGTGGGGGTTTGTGAGAAGAACTGGAGTAAGAAATACACACGCTGGATGTCTTAGAGATGTACTGTTTGCAAAGACATAAAAAAAAATAAATAAATAATTAAGAAGTCTTAAGGAAAACCCAGGACCCTGCTATCGAGTCTAATCCTACCAAGAGAGACTGCCAGTGACTGAGGATGAACACTCTGGCCTACAGCTCACATGTGAGGTCTTGTGAGTCACAGCTAGCAAGGGAGCCTATCTATAAAGTACTGGGATTATTTAAGTATACAACACAGTACACAGTAACACAACTGACAGCTCAGCGATGCTAAAGTTGGCACCCCAAAATACAGCTAACTTATACACACTAAAGACTGTAGGCATAACTATAGACTGTAGGCATAAAGAAACTATACATAAGGATGATAATTGACTGTAATTCATTATGAATTATGATAATCACAAATCATTGTAAATGATGAATCAATGGTGGTACAGATTAACAAAAGAGATCAACAGAGAGAAAGAGAAGATCGATCATCTGTATTCATGTGATCAAACAGATTCTAAGAAAAGTATTTTTTACAAAGGAGAAAGTGTAAACAGAAAAGGCAGATTAGTGTACACAAGTCTTTTACTGTTATTCTCAGAATCAGAGGGAATGTGAACACAAAAAAAAATATTTTAACATCATTAATTTACATAGCAGACACACAGTAACACTACTGACACTACCACCAAGGACCTCAATGAAATGGGATGGACAAAGACACCCTTACCCCAACCTAAGAGTTAGAATTTCAGAGGGAAAGACCCCCAAAGGCCAAAAGCAGGAAAGGACAGAAAGGGGAGAGATGGGGAAAGGAGGTATAGGAAGGATGGGGTAGGGAAGAGAGGATGGGGGGATAATAAGGTTCAGTCAGAGGAAGAAGACCAAAAGGTCCAATTCTTCAGACCAAAGCCTAATCACCCCAACAAGAAGCCCCCTAGAAGATGTTTTAAACTGTTGTCTGGCACCATAATGGGTAATCATTTGTAGAATCATTTTGTTGAGTTATTATTAGCTTTAAGTGATGTGTTGTAGTGGGTCACAAGGCACAGATCAAAAAGGGGAGGTATGGATAATTACAGAGTAGTACAGACTAAGTAGTGCTGTTTGAGGTATATAGTAAATGATCTTAGATGGGATGCCTACTGATTGGAGACATTTCGTTATGTGCTGGATGTGGGTGTTCAATTTCAAGTTGCTGTCAAACAGACCTAATAAAATTTTTTCTGGTTTTGGTCTTAAACATAAGAACTGTTAATCATTATATTTAATAAATAACAAAAAAAGGCACAATACCGTGACTGGAACGATACACAAATAACCCGCACATAAAAGACAGAAGCTTACGCGACGTTTCGGTCCGATTTGGACCATTGACAAAGTCACACTAACAGAGGTGGGGGCAGGACGCTAATATAGGCGGGAAAGGGGTGGGGGTAGAGTATGGTAGTAGTAGTAATAGTACAAAATTGTATATAATACCGACAGGATAAAAAGAACATCACAACACCCGGGGCATCCCCACCGTAGACTTTCGCCATCCACCAGCCACGGATGGCAAAAACGCCACAACAAAGACAACCGGGACGCCGCAATTGTCAATTTTCATCATAATGTAGTAGAAAAGAAAGAGGATAGTAGGGGGTAGGGGTAGAGGGGGAAATAAGGAAGACGACCCGTAAAAATAAAAAGGAAGGGAGCACTGAAAAGGAGCTAAAAACCCCAAGGGAAGAAAGCGCACCGGGTGCGTAAAAGGGGGAAAGGGGGTAAATAAAATAAAGAAGGAACAAAACAAAGAAGGAGAGAAAAAAGAAAACCCCAAGGGAAAAAAGGGAGAGGGGAAAGGGAAAAGGGAAGAAGAAAAAGAAGAAGAAGAAGAAAAAATGGTTTCTTTTTTAATCACGGGTGTTCGAATTTTTTGGAGCTTTTTACAATTAGGGGGAAAGGGGAAAAGGCATTAAAGAGCAACCCGGGGCTAAGGTTCATACAAAGGAAAGTTGGTATAAGAGGGGATTCAACAAAGGCACTTTTCGAGTTGGAAGTAGGGAAGACAGTTTAGCAGAAGACCAGTCAATAGGATGGCTATGATCTCTGACGTGACAGAAAAGAGCATGTTAGTGGTCGGCAAGCCTAACACTATTTTTGTGCCCCTAAGTCTGTCAGAAAGAAAATCGACCAGTTTTCTCCAAAGTATTGAAGAGGACAGGAGGAACAAGAAAAAAGAGTAACACCAGGAACATCTGTAGAGGAGGAGAGGTATGAATGAGATTAGTGCGAAGAGTTTTTCCTGGCGAAGGTAAGCTTGATGTCTAAGGGACGGAGAGAATTGTTGAGATTAGAAAGACCGGGAAATGTAGGGAAGGCAGAGGATAGAAGAGTTCCCATGAGTAGAGAGTTTGGGAGAGAAAAAATTGCGTTTAGCACGTGAGAGGGCAGAGTCAGAAATGGGAAGGGTAGCCAAGACGGGAGAACGAATTATAAAGAGTGGAATTTCTGCTGGAAGGAACGGAGGATCACAGATGCGGAGGGCCCCGGAGAAAGAGGGAGATAAGAACACTTTCTTGACAGGGAAGCATGATAGGAAAAGTAGTGAATGTAATGCCACTGTGCATAGGTTTAACGGTAAACGGAAAAGGAAAAACCTGTATCTGAGCGGTGGACATGATATTCAAGGAAAGGAAGTAAGGAATTAGATTCCCATTCAGCTTTAAACTTAATGGAAGGGGCAAGATTGTTAAGAGCTTCAAGAAAAGGTTGGAAGAGACTGGAGTCATGAGGCCACAGAGCAAAGATGTCACCCCACATAGCGGAGCCAGAGTGAAGGTTGCACATCGAGGGTAGGAAGAAGAACAGTCTCGAAGTATTCCATGTAAAGATTAGAAAGGGACAGGAGAGAAGGAGAGCCCATAGCGACACCGAAGGTTTTTGGGAATAATATTTCCTTGGAAGGAAAAGGATTTAGAGTCCACACAAGAGGCGGATCAGATCAAGAAAGACATCAGGGGGGATAGGGAGATGAAGAAACCCTTCATGGGCCTTCTCTCTAAGGAAAATCAAGGGACATCATCAAGAGGGACATTGGTGAAGAGGGACTCAACGTCAAGACTAAGCATCTTACAGGTTGGGAGAGAGCGAACCCTTCAATGAAGTCTTGAGAGTGACGGAGGTGGGCAGGAGAAAAAGTACCAAAAAAGGGGAGTGAGGGTTTTTAGGCCAGCCAAGAAGCAAGAGAATAAGAGACAGAACCTCTAGAGGATATGATAGGACGAAGAGGAAATATCAGGTTTATGAGTTTTGGGAGGCCATAGAAATAGGGAAGAGAGGGACAGTTTGACACGAAACCGTTGAACAAGGTCCAAGTCAGGAGGACAGAGGTCGGAGAGAGTCCTTAGTTTTTTGTTGAAAGTTCTCTTGATGCGATCAAGAGGGTTGGAAGCGAGAGGAGTGTAGGTGCGTGAAGTCAGAGAGCAAGAAAATCAGCTTTACGGAGGTAATCCTCGCGATCAAGGATAACTACCGAATTACCTTTTGTCAGAAGATAGTATGACAATGTATTTGTTAGATTTAAGAGAAAAAGGGGCAATTTGGTAAACGGCGTGGAAGGTGGTGATTCTTGGAAAACAGACTAACAAGAGCAGAAGGAGAGCACCACGAAAAGTGGACAAGTCAGGAAGATTACGAAGCGAGATTGACGAAAGGAACAAAAGAGCTAATCGGGGAAAATACCAGCGCGAGGAGTAGGCAAGTTGGCAAAGGAAAGACCAAAACCAAGAAGTTCAAGCTCATACTGAGAGAGGAGACAGAAGACAGATTAGTAACACAGTCAGTGAGGGAGAATTTAGACCAAGGCTAGCTGAGATGAGACGTTGAAGTTTTTTTTGTATTTTTGGGAAAAGAATGAATTTGCGCATTCAGGCGAGCATGTCAAAGGCAATGGTAGAGAAAGGTTACAGAATCCTGTGGTAGAAGCCGCAAAAAGAGCACGTTGACGTTGACGGAGAGTAAAGAAGGCATCTTCAACCCGTGATTTAGTAGAAAGAATGAGCTGTTGAAGTAGGAGACGGCATGATCAGGAAAGGGATGCCCAGTGGGTTGGTTTTCAGGAAGTGGGAGAAGGAAGGTGGCAGAACTTGTTCAGCAAGACAGTCACGTAGGAAGCGAAGCTGATTCTTACGACGCCGGGTAGCAATAAGAGCAGCCTCATAAGATCGAAAGAGGGGTTTAAAAGAGGGAAGAACATTAAAAAAGTTGGAGAGAATATGACGCTTAACTGCGGGGTCCATAAATAACAAAAAGGCACAATACCGTACTGGAACGATACACAAATAACCCGCACATAAAAGACAGAAGCTTACGACGACGTTTTTGGTCCGACTTGGGCCATTGACAAAGTCAAGTCGTAAGCTTCGTCTTTTAGTGCGGTTATTTGTGAATCATTATATTTAGCTGGACATTTACAGCTCTTCCCGACATCATGAAGAAGGTCTTGTCAACATTGACCGAGCGAGTTTATTTGTAGTCATCAAGTAGCTACCTTTATGAGTGCCTCATTAACTGGGGTTTTTTGTTACTGTTTTCATTTTAAATTTTTGTTGTTTATGTAACTGTAACAGTATATGTTTGACCCGGAAAAAACTACAATCAAATAAACATTTCAGCAGAGTACTTACTTCTAATTTGGCCTCAAGCTTGTTTATATCATCTGTTTGCTGTGTTTAATTTCTCCAGTTCAATCTGCAATATAATAGGCCAACACTGTAAGTAAACCTTTCCTTTTAAATTTTATAAAATAAAAGACTATGAATTAGTCCCCCTCTATGTAAGAATACACTAAAGCGCGTAGCACTCCGACCTTATTTCCTCCATTTGAAAGCATGTAAAAAGACGTAGATCTATGTTCGGAGCGATACACAAGCAAACGTAGAACTACGTTGGGACAGTTTAAGGATTAATATTTTATTCAGAAAAATAAAAAAGCTGCATCCATAACCTAACATTTTCTCACTTGGATATTTCCCGAGCCTGACACAGTCTTTATGGGTGAGAACCTTCGTGTTTTTTTAATTGGGCTTGATGAAGTCCAGTACAGTGGACCCCCGCATAACGATTACCTCAAATGCGACCAATTATGTAAGTGTATTTTGTAAGTGCGTTTTGTACGTGTAAAGTTTGGGAGTCTGAAATGGACTAATCTACTTCACAATATTTCTTATGGGGAAAAAATTCGGTCAGTAATGGCACCTGTACATACTTCAGAGTGAAAAAATATCGTTAACCGGGGGTCCACTGTACTTGATGAAACGTCGTACTAAAGGCTTTTTTGTACTCACAGAAATCTAACACATTTCTATAACAAGAGATACGATTTCTTAATTACATGAGCATTAGCAATAATGGTAAAAATAATAAATTAATAATACTGCAGTACTATTCTAGGATAAAATGGCTATCAGATGAAAACAAATTCAGAAAAAGTAACAGTGGAATCCCCGGGATTCGTTGTCCGGTTTTCATCAAATTCGGTTTTGATGACTTTTGTGGTCAATATTTTGTCTCAGTATTCGTTATATCACCTCGGTTTTTCATTGAGTTGGCAGTGGTCCTCCATACCGAACATGTCCAACCTGCCCACACAAAACATCCCACACGCTCCGAGTTTAGTCTGGCTTTGTTTTCTCGTCGGTAAGGGTTGTAGTGATGGTGGTAGAGGGTGGGAGAGATGGGGGTAGAGATGGTGGTAGAGGGTGGTAGTGATGGTGGTAGAGGGTGGAAGTGATGGTGGTAGAGGGTGGAGTGATGATGGTAGAGGGGGGGTAGTGATGAAAGGTAAAAGGGGATAGTGATGGTGGTAGAAGGTGGTAGTGATGGTGGTAGTGATGGTGGTAGTGACTGTGGTAGAGGGTGGTAGTGATGGTGGGAAAAGATAAACTCTCCTCTCTCTCCCCTCCTCGCCACTTCCATACGCCAACAAGTCCTTCAATAAAGGGAAAAGTGGGTGTTAAAATATTCATTTATCCATTTCAGTAGTCCTTTATATTTATTTCTCATTGTTTTCTGTATGTAAAACTAGTCATTCTCTGTAAAATGTATTTTTTTTTTAATACTTTTTGGGTGTCCCGGAATGGATTAATTGGATTTACATTATTTCTTATGGGAAATATTGCTTCAATATTCATTGAATTTTGGTTTTTGTCAGACCTTTCTGGAGCGAATTAATGATGAAAACCAAGGGTTTCCCCTGTATTTTTTCTAATATACTACATAAGGAGCTATAACAATTTGGAAAACAGGGAAAACAAATTAGTAAGCCACTATAATGGTTTAAATTTTGTGGTTACAGAAAATTTATCTTTTGCTGTGCTTTTTAAACCCCTTTGACTGTCGAAGGGCCAAATCCTGAAGTTTCTTCTGGTTCCCCAAAAAATTCGAAAAAAAAAAAAATTATTTTTTCTTATGAAATGATAGAGAAATCTTTCCCGATTGTAAAGACACCAAAAAAAACGAAATTTGATGGAAAACTGCGGAATTACGCTCTCGCGAAGTTAGCGACTTCGGCATATTTAAAAATCGACAATTTCGCCCCCTTTGAGGGCCCCATTTTCGCTAATTCCGTTATCCAGTCAACCAAAATCATAACTATTTCTTTCAGAACTCTATTTTTTTTTTATCGATTGAGTACAAGAAACTGCCCATTTACCGATTTCAACTACCCAATAACATGGGCAGAAATTTGCAATTTGGCCAATTTCACGAAAATTAAAAAATATGACAATTTCAAAATAAGTCCAGAATGAACAATGCAGACATTCCCCGGGTCTAAAATAACTTTTTCTTTGTTCATCAATCATGTCCCAGGCCTCTGTGATATTACTCTTGCTTTTATTTTGAAATTTTATTCAAACAAAAAATAGAAGATTTACTGTTATGCAGACTACTGCAATACTGTAATAATTGTAAAAATTACATCAACCCATTCATGACTGCATATTAGAATGGCTATTTGGACATTTATTGGACAATGACATCATTTGTTCATTTTTGAACATCGGCAAAAAATCAAACATTTCCTGTACTTTGTGCTCCATTTCCAGGTTCTTTTTATAGTAAAATTAATCAAAATCACATCCATTTCTATAATAAAAGTTTCCATTCTATCAAATGAGACCAAGAAAACGAGAATACAACCACAAATACTATACGAAAATAGACCACAAAGTGGGCATTTTAATTAAAAAAAACGGTCGGAGTTTTTTTTTTTCTCCATTATGGCACTGCGTGCTCCAGGATTTTTTTTAAAGTGGTGCACACTGACCACACGACCCTTTCTCTCACATGTGGGCCTACTAGCTTTCTCCTGCCTGATTTGAAGCCGCTAGAATTATGAAATATATACGTCAAACCGGTACCTCGCAAACGTATATATACGGCCTCAAACAGTCAAAGGGTTAAAAAAGTTATAAAAACAAGTTATCACAACAACTTAGACCTATTCTATAGCTGATGACACGACTTTTGTCATCTCCCACCCTATTCTTGCCTTGCTCAACACTACTGTTAATGAAGAGCTTGTAAAAATATCAACCAGAATGACTCGATAAACTTTCACTTAATATTGACAAAACATTCTACATTATGTAAGAGAGTACAGCAGGAGAGGCCCAGCTTAACAGTATGCTTAACAACACCCCTATTATGCTAAACATAATGAGGGAAAATATCTGGGTTTGCACCTTGACAGCAACTTGAAATTCAACACCCATATCCAACACATAAAAATAAATCTAAAACAGTTGGCATCCTCTCAGAGATACATTACAAATGTACCACAAACAGCATTATTTACACTATACTGTACTATTTCAGGATCTACCCTTACCTCACCTATGCATTTGTGCCTGGAGACCCACAGCAGCAAATCACATAATGCAAAAAACACCTACCATCTGAACTTACAACCGAGCTTGTTCCGACCAACCGTCGTAAGTCAAAGGGAGGGAAGTTGAACTTTACTACTGAATATCAAAATTCCCATTTTTGTAATGGTTTTAAATTTATGGTTTTATTTTGGAATTTCGTTTTTTACTTTACTTTTTATGCTTTTAAATTAACTGTATTTTATACTGTAAGGTTTAGGATAAACACTGTGTACAACACAAACAGTTTGTTTATTTCCCAGAAATTTGGCATAAAAAACACGGTAGTAAGTCTATTTGGTCATATGTCGTGCAGGTCCTAAGTCGGATGGTAGGTATAATCACGCAACAAAAAGCTGCAGTGAAAATTTATCACACAATCCACTGCTAGACAACACCCCCCCCCCCCAACAACTCTACAAAGACCTAAACCTACTCACCATACAAAACATTCACTCGTACTACTGAAAAAACTACATTATGGAACAATCAATACTAATATAAATCCCGACCTGAACGTTTTCTTGACAGTTGCAATAGGACCCATAGACATGCTACTAGGCATAAAAATCTCTGACACTCCCATGTCAGGCTAAATCTCGTCAAAAAATTCAATGTACATCAAAGTACCATAATATGGAACTCTCTGCCAAAATCTCCAGAACCACTGACTTGGCTAGCATTTTCAAAACTACCATTAAAAAATGCCTTAACCTATCCCCGCCCATCATATTACATATGTAAAAACTATACAACATTTGCTCAATATCATGAAAATAGGTAAAACATTATACAGCCTCTCCTCACTTAACGACAGAGTTCCGTTCCCAAGACCACAATCAGTAAACGAATTCATCACTAAATTAGGGGCATACTATAATGGAAGCGAGTAGTGTCAACCATCTGATATTATTTTAACATCACCTTTGCACCATTTATAACATTTCTGGGATACAGTGTGAACCTCTACTTGCAAGTTTAATCCGTTCTATGACTTGCCCAATGGATTTGCTCGTTTGCAGAGTATTTTCCTCATTAAATTACTGAAATGCAATTAATAGACCAGGAGAATTTGTACTTCAATTTCACTATATCAACTCTTGGCTTATTTATCTATCTTTTTCATCAAAAAATTTATATAAAAAAAATATAATAACATGGAACCTGAATATACTCAAAGAATAAAATATGTCATATACATGTATTGTGGCATCGGCACAGACAACAAGTGTTTGTCTGAAGACAGGACAAAAAACCCTTTGAAAAATTCGTACCCTCAACTTTTTTACTACCATTCATCTAACTGAAATAAAAACAGTAAAAATTTAACATAGAAACCTAATATAACTCAGAATGAATAAAATGTGTCATTATTTTAACAGGGGAGGCGGCCACAACCGCCCCCTCTTTGTTGTGGTAAACACTGCCGTCTAGTAAATGGCCTTTTGAAGCCGTCCATTATATAATTATTATGTAAAGTACATTATTATTATAGTATATGTATTATTATTATACTATTTATTATTATTACGTATTAAAATTATTATACTATTATTATTATACATATTATTATTATAATATAAAACACTGTAATTTGTAATTTTTATTCACACAAAAAAAAAGATTTACTGTTTTTGCCTTATTGCAATAATTGTAAAAATAATGTCAACCCCATTCATGATTCATATTGGAATAAACAGTGATGTCATTTGTTTACTCTTGAACATAGCCAAAACAATCGAACAATTTCTCCAAAGTTGAGCTCAATTTCAAGGTACTTTTTGTCGTGAAGCAATCAAAATCAAATCTATTTCTGTAATA